AAGTGCTTTCTTTTCGATAAATCTATTCTTTTGTTCACCATTTTCTTTTTCTTTTTGGAATCGATGATTGTTGTGGAAACTTTTCCATTTCTTAACAAGAAGAACTAGATCATCAAGTTCTTCATCATTCACATTTTTGCTTGATGTGCCTTCATCAACTATTGATTCTAAATGAATTTTAATTAGTTACTTTTTTTTTTATCTTATATGAAATTTTTACTTATAAGTGAATTTTGTATCTATTTTTAAAACTTTAACTAATAGAACATTTTGTTTCTATTGGATAGTGTTTGTCCATAGAGTAAATTTATTTTACTAGGGAAATTTTAAAATAAATTATTAATTTATTTTTCGATAAATTATTTGTATTAATTTGAATTTATATTTGTTCATGGGTCGATTTGATTTTATAAATTGAGTCCTTAAGTTCCTAAACACGGAAAGATTCAATTTGTAATTCGATCTAAGTTTTGTTGTCCATGATCTTAAAAAAGAAAAGAGAAGATGAACACTTTATTTTTATACGACTATCTCAATTTTATTAAATTTCATCTTTGACTTGGTAATAAGATTGAATATAAATTTGGAATGTACTAGATTGAGCTATCTGAAATTTAATTTGTGAAATTGATCACATGAATTTAATTTCATGTGGCTGTTGTATATAGGACATTAATCCCGAGTAAGTAATAAGACTTTGATTACTAATTTGAAAGTTCTTTGATGTACAAGTGTGTGAGATATAATCATTGGTCAATATTTCAGTGTTTTGAGAATTGAATAGGAAAAATGGGGACACATATAAGTGATATGAAATTGTAACATATTTAGAGCCTGTTTGGGAGTGATTTTGAGAATTAATTTTTTGATCGTTAGGAGAAAAGTGGGGTCCACCTGTGAGAGAAGAAGTCAAATATAACGGCTGGAATAGTGAAATAACGGTCAAAAAATCAATTTTCTGGGTGAAAAAATCGGACCCAAATAGGCCTTTAATAGACACTATCATGATCTCAAAGATTTTCTAGTGGACAATTATTCTAAGCTCAGTAATTCAATATTGATTGTTGAATTAATATTGTAATGTGATCACGTGGGACTTTAGATAGAAAATGGGATTTGGAGATTTATATTATATTTTAAAATGATATTTTGATTATTTTACCTTGTTTCGAATATTCGACGTGATCTACAGGATAATATATAAAAACAGTGAGTCAAAAAATATAAATTTTATCTATGTATAATTTTAGTATATTCAATTAGACTGATAGGGTAATTTTGTTTTTCTAGTAAAATACAAAATGATTAATAAATTATCTCGATCGATCAAGAATTGATTGTGTCAACACTAATTTATTTGAACTTAGTATAAATGTGTTTATTTAGATCCCTTCATGACTTCAAAATAAGAATAGAAATAAATTAAGGGTTATAACTTATCATTGACTTTAATGTAATAAATTAAATGAACAAAGACGTTTCTCATGTGTTGTCACGCATGTCACGGATTTGAACTATAACTAAAATGAAGACAGATCTTGCTACTCATACATCAAAATTGACATTTCGGTGTATCGATTCCCTCACAACAAGGAGCCTACGATTTTTTTCTTCGTGGCCTCCCTGTTGTGAGAGGTCGATCAACCTCGGTGTATAAGTATCAAAATTTAAAGAAGATTCCATATTTTAAATGGACACTGACATTGACGTTAAATTCTATATTTTGAGTTTTTGAAGAACATCGGAGAAGGTTAAACGATAAGAATGGAGAAGATCCAAGCAAGAGAAATTTTTGCAAACAACACTATAAGGGCAATATCTAAAACATCTTTATTTATTATTCCAGCGGACTTTTTGTATTTTTTTCAATGCAGAAAGTAATTGAATTTTATTTTTTCAACAATTTCTGATGACGATTTTTTTCCGAATTATTCAATTAGCGGGGAGAACATACTTTGTCAATTTTTTGTATTCATTGTTTACTTTACTTATTTAAAATATGATAGACAAATAAGTCTTTTAATTTCTTTCTTCTAACATATAAGATATTCTAATTAATATAAGAATAATGATAAAAATGCTACGAAAAAAATTAAGAACGTAAATGCTAAAATGAGCAAAATTTGTAAAACTTCACAAAAATTAATTAGAGTGCAGTTTACAAATTTTTTGTGTAGTGTAAGTATCATTTCAACTCTGACACTTGGGTACTCGATCAGTTTTTCTTTACGCAAAAATTTATTACCGTCAATTTTCTTCATTAAAATATTATAAAATGAATAATTTACCTTCCTCTTTAAATGAATAAATAGAAAAGAAATATATAATATAAAAAATGAATCTTGAGTTCCAAGTTTTTAAAAATACAAATATGTCTCACGTAAAAGAATATAAATTATTCAAATAAAAGGAAAATATTTTATCTTCTCGATTAATCCACCTATACTTATGCCAATCCCCTATCATCCTTTTCCTCCACCACCACCATCACAAAAATGATTGAAATAAAATTTAAAATTAAAAGTATAAAAAAAGGAAAAAAAAATATAGAAAAAAATAAAATAAAATGGTGTTTCTTCCACCACCAGCACCAAAACCAAAATAATTAAAAAGAGAATTAAAATATTAAAAAATAAGAAAAATTCTAATATAGAAAAAAAAAATATAGTGTTTCTTCCTCATCACCACCACCACCTAAATAATTAAAAAAAGTAAAAACAAAAAATAATATAGAAAAACAAAAAAACAAAATAGTGCTTCTTCTTCATCTAATTCTGCACCATGCCATAGACCATCGCCGCCATCACCAATTCTCCCCACCCCACTATGGAACCATCCAAGAATTTAGTTCTTTTCCTATGATCAAGTTTCATATTTCAATATCTTTTGGTTTTCAGTGAAATAACAAGAGTTTTTAGGGATTTAACTATTTTCAGCTTTTCACACTTTTGATTCTCTTTTTATTTATTTTGATGGTAATGAAGGAGTGTAGAGGATGGGCTTAGGGACATAAAATTGGGAAAATAAAATATATTTTTTTATTAAATTATTTTATGTGAGATTCGTTTGTATTTTTTTAAAAAAAATAAAATAAAAAACTCTAAATGCAATTGTTTATATCATTTCTTTCTTTTCTATTTGTTTATTTAAAGATGAAAGTAAATCAGTCAATTTATAATGTTTTAATGGCGAAAATAGATGGTAAGGATCTTTTGTGCAAAAAAGATCAATTTAAGTGCCCAAACGGGAATTTTTTTTTTTTTTTTTTTGAAAAGATTGGGAGATTTGGAATTTTTTTTTTTTTTTTTTTTTTTTTTTTTGAAAAGATTGGGAGATTTTAGCAATGAAGGCAAATGATATAGACTTTTTGTGCCAATTGTAACATCCCAATTTATTGAAAATGACTCAAGTGTTACTTAATCACAAAATAACATATTAAAAACAATCGTCATCATATGAAATGTAATTTATATATATCTTTTTACTTGATTCGAGAGCATCGGAGCTTAGAACATGGCATTGTGTGATGGCATTCATATTAAAACCCAATTTTTTGTTTAAGTCGGTCACTGTTCACGTCATAAACAGTGATGGGAAATGATTTTTTTTTCTAAGGAACAGTGAATTCGGTTATGAACAATGGTGGGAATATATATA